AAAAAAGACAAAGACTATATAACTATTTTGGAAGAAAAAATAGAAGATGTGGAGCGCGGAAGTAGAAAGGCTAATATAGAGATAAAAAATGTACCAAAAAATAGTAATGAAAATAAGGAAGATTTAATAAGCATGACTGTGAAATTATCTAAGGCTATAGATTGTAATATCGATAGGCGAGATATTAAAGATATATATAGAGTGCATAACAAAAGGAGTGACACAAAAAATAGTTCTGTCATACTTGAGATGTCATCCACAATTTTAAAAGCCGAGTTCATCAAGATGAGTAAATCATATAATATCAGGCACAAAGAAAAGTTATGTGCAAAACATCTTGGATTTAAGATTGACGAGTATACTCCGATTTTTGTCTCAGAGCAGCTAACCATTAAGGCAGCTCGCTTATTTTACCTTGCAAGAGAAGTAGCCAAGACTAATGGATATAAATTTTGTTGGACAGCCTATGGAAGGGTGTACATCAGAAAAGATGAGAACTCCCCCATTATTGTCATAAAAAATGAAACACAAATAAATTCCCTAATGCAACTCAAATGACTAGACGTAGTTCCAGCCATAAATGAGTTTTTGTTATATTTTGGCCGTGTGATGATTTATTATAATATTATTTTATATGTAAAAAATATTAATAGAATATGTAATGTAAAAGAGTGGATCGTTTATACAAACAAATATATGTTCTCATTTACACTACAAACAACACTAATTTATTTCTATTATTTTATACAAATTCAAGATATATATTTATACAGTACCTACTCATTACAAATACTAACACATTCATACACATATGTTCATTTACACACACACATACACGCTTGTTTACACAGATATATGCACACACATAAAAATACTCTCAAGTGTATTGTCCTGACATTTTATAAATTTCATTATGGATAGTACACTAAAAGTAATAAACGAAATAGACAATTCTGATACAATACAAGTAGTTGAATGTACTTCAGAGAATTTTTTAAAACAAATGCGAGTTAAAAATACTGATTTTATGATAATATCACAGAATATTAGAAGCATTTACTCAAATTTCGATGACTTGCAACTAAATTTAACTAATCTAAAAGTTAGCATAGATATATTGATCTTGGGAGAGTGCAGATTGCGTACAAATAAACACATACCACAAATTAATAACTATATATCGTATCAAACTACCAATCATTTAAATAAAGCTGACGGAGTAGTTGCATATATTAAAAATACACATAATGCAAAAGTTGATGAGATAAAATTAAAAAATGCCTCGTGTTTACAAATTCAGATCTCCACAGATTTCATTGTGCTTGGTATTTATCGATCCCCTTCGACGTCCAGTTCTGATGAGTTCATAGATTCTTTGGATCAATACTTAAATTCGATTACACCTACTAGAAATATTATAATCGCTGGAGACATAAATATAAATTTGATATCTAATCAGCATGAAAAATCAATTGATCGTGTAAATAGATTAAATTATTTAAACATGCTTGCTATGCACGGCCTTTTACCTGGACATACACAACCTACAAGAGGAAAAAATTGTCTCGATCATTTTATTATAAAACTTAACTGTGTATATAAAAAGGCTAACATTGCGATTGTTGATACAACTATAACTGATCACTATATGATTTGCTTAAAAATATCTGACCTATTTTATAATAATAAATGTATTAAAACAAAAAAATCTCTGAATATAGAAAATGCATTGACTGATCTAAAAAGTAGTGATGTATTAGATTTGATAAAAATAAATAATCCGAACACATTGATAAATAGCTTAATTAATAAAATTCAACAATGTCTTATTAATAACACTAACATAATTACAATTCCTGTAAAAAATAGAATCCTTAAACCCTGGATGACAGTAGGATTAGTGCGTTGTATTAGGAATCGTAATAACATGCAAAAAAAACTAAATTTGGATCCACATAATGAAATATTAAAAATAACATACAAACGATACCGTAATCATTGTAATAATCTGATTAAAAATCAAAAACGAAAATATGAGCGAGAAAAACTAAGTAAAGTACAAAATGACCCAAAAAAATTGTGGAACACTATAAACTACATTACTCAAAGGAATCCTAAGAAACAACAAAATTTGGATTTACTGGAGATAGCCTCAACACCTTTGGAATCTGCAAACGAGGTAAACAAATATTTTTCCAATATTGGCAAGGTACTGGCAGATAAAATTAAGGTTGACTCCTTCGCTACTCAGGATCCTAATATTTATGAACCTAAAAATCCTCCTGTTTTTTCATTTGTGCTATATGATACAGACCCTGCTGAGGTGCTTTCAGTGCTGATGAGTTTAAGGTCGGACAGTGCACCTGGAATTGATGAAATACCAACTAGTTTTTTAAAAATAGCACATGATGTGACTGTACCTCTATTATGCCATCTAGCGAATTTGTGTTTTGAACAGGGAATCTTCCCTAACGCTTTGAAGCAGGCTCTTATAACGCCTGTGTACAAAGGAGGAGATGGTAACAAACCCGAAAATTACAGGCCAATTTCAGTCCTAACACCTATTTCAAAAACTTTAGAAAAATTAATTAACAACCGGTTAACAAATTATATAACTAAATACAATATATTATCATCGCAGCAATTCGGTTTTAGACAGGGGCTTTCTACTGAGGACGCAGTTTCGACGCTTGTTGCTAAAATTACAGAGGAGGTTGATAAGGGAAATAAGTGTTTAACTGTTTTCCTTGATATCAAAAAAGCCTTTGACACTGTTTCCGTTTACAAACTTCTGTACAGACTTGAGGGTATAGGTGTAAGAGGAATACCTCTTAAACTTTTTAAAGACTACCTATGTGAACGGAAACAAAGGGTTAAGATAGGCGAATTTATCAGTACAGAAGAAACAGTTACGTACGGGATCCCGCAAGGAAGCGTCCTCGGCCCTACACTGTTTCTTATATATATTAATACTTTATGTAACATGGCATTAGAAGAAGGATTAGTTATTTCATTTGCTGATGACACAGCTGTTATTTTCACAGGAGAGACTTGGGAACAAGTAAAGTTACATACTGAGAGCGGACTGGCTAAAATAGCGGATTGGCTGCAATATAATCTACTGACTTTAAATGCCATTAAATCTAACTACATCTGTTTTACTAACTATGATCGTACACAACCACATAATAGATTTAATATAAAGATCCACAAATGCCGAAACTATCAAAATTTAAATTGTTCTTGCGCTACAATTAATAAGGTACATAACACCAAATACCTGGGAGTAATTATCGATCAGCGTTTATCTTGGCACCAACACTCTGAAATAATTATGAATAGAATTCGAAAGCTTATTTGGGTATTTAAAATGCTACGTCATATTACTACAAAAACCTTATTGCAGCGAATTTATGTCTCCTTGGCTCAATCTATCCTTGTTTACTGCTTAGCAATTTGGGGAGGGGCAACAAAAATAAAATTTCTAGAACTAGAAAGGGCACAGAGATCGCTGTTAAAGGTGATGTACTTTAAACCATTTCGGTTCCCTACTGAAAGCCTTTACTTAATAACCGATCTTCTGACAGTAAGAAAATTATATGTACTTCAACTTACATTAAAAAAACATAAATCGCTAACATATAATCCTGAAAAGAATAAAAATAGAAGAAAACACAAAGTAGCTGATACAATCACAGTTAAAACTACATATGCAAAAAGACAATACACCAGTCAATCATCAAAAATATATAACAATTTAAATAAAGAACTCGATATATATTCACTCAATTATCATAAATGTAAAAAGACTCTAGTTACTTGGCTTAAAGCCAAAAGTTACGATGAAATAGAAAATATAGTCTGGAATTAAAAAATAACCATATAAGTAATAAATAAAAAGTACAAAAGTAAAAAAAAAAAATAATAAAGAACACAAACTATATTATTATATATATCTATACCATACACACAAATTCACACATACACACACACACGACGCACGCACGCACGCACACACGCACGAACGCACACACACACGAACGCACACACACGCACGCACACACACGCTCGCACACACACATACACACAAGAACAAGCACATACACGACCGCATTTATTATCATAAATAGACATTTTTTCTTTTTTTATGATATGTAAATTTTTTAGTATTATTGTATAAAAGTAAAACAAAGTAAAATTTTTAATGCTGATTAAGAAAAAAAGAAAAGTAAATTGTAATGATCATGAAATTTAATTATTGTTGTGAAGGAGCGGTTTCTCCTAACACAAGCAATTTTTGCTTAACAGGAGATACCAAACCCTGTAATGTAACTAACTACCTTTGTATAAAGAAATAAATTATTATTATTATTATTATTATTATAATTTGTGAGTGTATGGAATGGATGAGTTATTGTAAAATGGCAGTCATAACCTAAGATACTACTAATAATAAATCTTCAGTTTCATCGTATGTCTTACTTAATAGCCAATCATACAATAATCATATAATACCATTATTATCTATTTATATAACTATATATTATGCTATTTTATGTTAACAAATTAACATAGGCAATTGTTTTAAATACATAATTTATTTGGAATAAGTAAATAAAGTAATTAGGTACTTTGTAAACTGTACAGTTTATATATTGTATAGTGTTGTCTCACACTAGGGGGAATTTTCCATTAGTTATTACGCTAGGTATTTTTTTTTTTTACAACACAGGGGGCAAACGAGCATACGGCTCACCTGATGGTAAGTGACTACCGCCGCCCACGATCACCCACAACACCAGCGGCATTGCAGGTGTGCTGCCGGCCTTTTAAAAAGGAATATACTCTTTTCTTGATGGTTATGTTGTCGTATCGGTTTTGAAATACTGCTGCTGGAAGTTGATTCCAAAGAATGGTTGTGCGTGGAAGAAAGTGCCTTGAAAAACGCACGTTAGGTAGTATGTCTGGCAACCGCAGTTAGACTTTGGAGATATTTTAAGAAGGATGCTGCTGTCCATCTCTCGTTCTCCCTTAGTCGCTTCTTACGACACCCAGGGGAAAGGAAGGGGCAAGGAAGGGGTGGCCTATTCTATGCTGGGACCAAACGGCATATTATGTTAATTATTTTAGTCAAACGAAACCAAATTAATTAAAAACTTAGTTTGTTAACTGTGATACTGTAATTTTTTGACAACTTTTATCATATATAAAATCTAAAAACCAAAATAAAAAAATTACTTGTGACCCGCCCTGAGGAATCCGTGTGGCTGAATTTCCATTACACCATCAGCTACGTCGCACAGCAAACGGGATACTGTTACCTTTCTTATTTCTTGTAGTTGTTCTAAAAAAAGCAACTTATATCCTTAGCTATATCATATAGTATGTAACTACCAAACATACTATTTAGTTAAGATGTAAAGGCGCCGAGAGGTATCAATCAATCACACACACACACATATATATATATATATATATATATATATATATATATATATATATATATATATATATATATATATAGGGATAATATTTATATTATTATCACATATCACACATATATATATGTATCACATCTCTCATATTTAGAACTAACAAAATTTTTCATTGTACCTCCCACCAAATTGTTTATAATTACTCCTCTCCATCCAAAGGTTGTCTGGAAGAGATCGCTTTTAGCGTTAAGGTCGCCCATTGTTTTCTCATTGTGATTATTTCTTGTAATTGTTTATATTTATAATAAGTCTACTACTGTAGACTTTTGGAGGAAACCATAAAGAGTATCTATCTATCTATCTATCTAACAGTCATTTTCACAGTTATTATATTAGAAAAGAGAGTTTATACATATAAAACAAATTATATAAATTACTAATTATTTAATTAGAATTATTTTGTTTAATTCCGCTATCATTAGTAAGTGTGTGACTGCCAACACTCCAAGTGTCGTAGGATCACATCCCTAGTAGGTATATATGAAACATCACTAGAGGTGGCCACTGGTTGGTTAATGATTAATGTCTGAATAATGAATAAAGCATCTTCAATATATAAATTAAATCGTTTATTATTAAAAGAACTATAAAAATATAACACCAAGATTGACCACCACTAATACTACCAGAAGTTCCACAACCTTCCATATTAGCGATCAATCTCCGACTGTCATTTTGTTCACGCACCTTTTGCAACATGTTTCGTTTCCCAACGAGGCATGTGCAGGAAAATTAATTCCGGAATAAAATAGAATAATTCTAATTAAATAACCAGTGATATGTACTTCCACAAGACAATACTTAATTTATCACAGGGTGACTTTGTACAAAAGTCGTTTGCTTGGGCACTTCTGTTACATTCGTGTTTCTACCGTGAAGCAGTAGTGTTTGCATGGCTCTGTTTCGGTTTGAAGAGTGGGATATGGCAGTGAATTTACAGGGTACAGAGGAAAAACAGCCGAGTCCTCAGGAATGGCAACGCATGGGGGGTATCATGGGCGAAACAGTATTTTTTTTTTTTTATACCACTGAGGTGGCAAACAAGCATACGGCCCACCTGATGGTAAGCGGTTACCGTAGCCTATGAACGCCTGCAATACCAGAGGTATTACGCGCGCGTTGCCGACCCTGAAGAAACCTCTTTACCCCCTTTTGAAGAACCCCATGCTGTAGTCTCTCGGGAAAACCTCGGCAGGGAGCTCATTCCATAACCTGAGTGTTCGTGGGAGAAAGCATCTCTGAAACCGCGTTGTACGCGACCATTTAGGCTGTAAGGTATGAGGGTGAACTCCCTGCCGATGGCGAGCCGTACGATGATAGAAAGTGGCCGTAGGCATCATATTGAATAATTCCTCTGAGCACAATCCGTTGTATAAGCGGTAGAACACGCAGAGTGAGGCAGAACAGTATACTCTGTTATGTCCATGGTACAGTTAATATACCTATAGATAATAGGCGACAGTTACCACTTTACATCAGGTGGGCCGTCAGCTTGATTGCCATTCTTAGTTGCATAAAAAATACTTAGTTTAGAAAAAAAAATCAATTACTCACCTAAGGTAAAAGCGTTCGGTCTATTAGACCTCTCGTACCAGTGTCTGTCAGAGATCATATTTCTTATTAATTGTTCTACTACGAGACAGTAGAATGTACTCGGCACTGAGCCACCTTTAATTAGTTTCTCCATCCAAATACCAGCTAAGAGATCTATATCTTCTACATGCTCATAAATTTCTTTGAGTAGTTCTATACGCTGAAAAAATATAATAAAAAAAAATGTTCATGGCTGTAATTCTTAATGGAGCAATTAGCAAGGATGAGGGAGACTTTGTACAAAAGTCGTTTGTTTGGGCACCTCTGTCCCATTTGGGTTTCGACCGTGATGCAATTGTGTTTGCATGGCTGTGTTTCGGTTTGAAGGGTGGAATATGACAGTGAATTTACAGGGTACAGAGAAATAACACCTGAGTCCTCAGGAATGGCAATGCATGGGGTGGTATTATGGTCGAAATAATGTACTCTATTATGTTCATGGTACTGCTCATATCTATAGGTAATGGATGCAACTTTCGGTCAGGTGGGCCATCAGCTTGTTTGCCATTCTAAATCGCATAAAAAAAATAGTATATTTTCTCTCGATTTGTTTTCATAGTAGCCTGACTAGGTCGTAGTCTTGGATTTATAATCAAAGATGTACAATCTAGTCTACTCGGTAACTTCAAGGCAACACTGAATACAGGACGTGAGCGAGTGAGTAAAAATGACATGAATAATTCAAATTAATTAAAACTCATTGCACTCATTGTTAAAAAAGGATATAAATAAATTTGATAGCATTGGAAGATAAGGCTGTTTAAAATAAAATCAAGTAATTTTTTTTAAACAATTCGGTGTATTATGAACAGGATCTACTTAATTTATTTGGATGCAAAAAGTAGAATTAATCAAAGCAGTAGCTTTGTCAGTTAGATTGCTTACAATAATATTAAAATAAACAATACGACTAGAAATATTATACGGCCTAAACTAAACAGAGTTTTTTAAAGATATTAAATAATTAAAAGACAAACTTCATAACATATACATAAAAAAAAGACACTCAAAGCAGTACAAACAGACATTTATACAGGGATCAAACTAGCGACAATAGGAAGGTTATAAAATGTGTAAAGATACTAGAATTTCCAGGTTGTTATTTTGCTCACTTCATTATTAATAAATTTAAAGTCATTTAAACGATCAATTTGAAATGTCAAATAGTTATGATTGAAACAGTAATGGATAAGTTTGTTATTAAACTAGTTAGTTGATTACAATTATTTTGATTAATTCCACTATCATCACTTTATTTTATTGACTTCTATTATTTATTATTACCAGAAGTACTCGAAGTCAGTCATCAAGTGTTGGCAGTCGCAGGAATACTAATGGTAGCGGAATTAAACAAAATAATTATAAACAACTAACTAGTGATAAGAGTAAGGTAGTTCAGTAAAATACTTGTAAATTCATGTACATACTTCAGGATCAATCTCATTAGATAAATCATCGAATGACGTATATTCTTTTTGGTTGCAAAATTGTTTATACTTCACGTAAGGTTGAAATCCAAAGTATCGATTCTTAGCTATATCATTTGTTAAAATATCAAATGCTCGTTGATGAGGTCCAAGTCCAATGCCTGCCATCTGGAATGGAATATTAAAATTATTAAGTTGAAAATAATGGTGGACACCTAAATATACTATTGGAAAAGGTCTCTTCTTTCCTTCTCTTGGAATTCATCACGATGAGCTACTTGATCTGTTTACATCCTCACATATCATACTTTAATGATTCACCACCAGCTGGGTTATAATTTCTTTATCATCCATTAAAAATGACAGCTGAAGAAAGAATGGTGATGATCTAAAATCCAATTAAATTACAAAATGTGCTCTGAGCATAATCTTACTAATATAATTAAATTTTAATAAGATATTGTCTGTACATGGGAGATATTTAAGCAAATTTGATATTGATCGGTGTCTTAGTAAAAGAAATAGATGTCAAAACAATAACTTTTAAAAATTTTGTCTGTCTGTATGTTTGTTCTGGCATCACGAACTATCACTATTATCTTATCACTAAATTAGATACGATTCCTGCAGTTGTGTTCTTGAAGGTCCGATCTGATATATGTTTAAATCTGGTATATGTATTATCTTAGTGCGCTAGCCAGAAGTGGTCATCTTTACTACTTCTTCACTACTTTTAAACACATTGACACATATGAAATAGCGGCTAATCAATCTATTGGAAATATCATCTATACAACTCAATCAATAGTGGACAAAATTGAAATGAAAACAATGATGTCGGTAAATAGAGAGAGAAAGAGAGAGAGAGAGAGACCTTGTACAAAAGTCATCTGCTTGGGTACCTCTGATATGACAATAAAATTACAGAGTACAGAGGTATAATACCATAGTCCTCAGGAATAGCAACCCATGTGCGACACAAAATGCTCTGATATGTCTATGCTGTTCATGTATATAGGCGATAGTTGCCACTTTTCATTAGATAGACGCAAAAGGGAGACTTTGTACAAAAGTCGATTGCTTGGGTATCTCTGTCCATTCGTGTTTCTACCGTGGAGCAGTTGTATTTGCATAGCTGTGTTTCGGTTTGAAGGGTGGGATATGGCGCGAATTTACTGGGTACAGAGGAATAACACCTGAGTCCTCAGGAATGGCAACGCACGGGGGGTATCATGAGCGAAACAGCACATTCTGTTATGTCCATGGTACTGCTCATGTCTATAGGTGACGGTTACCACTTTCCATCAGGTGGGCCGTCAGCTTGTTTGCCATTCTAAGTTAGAAAACAAATTGATTTTATAGATACATACATCAAAGTCTACAACATAGTCAACATTGGCGCTCGCCTGTCGGAAACTACCTTGTGTAATATAGTCAATATTATTGTCTACAGCCAGGAAGCCTGTTCTTAGCGTGAGATTCACTAGCGGGAATTGTCGAAGATAGTGGCCGTGTTTATCATAAAATCTGAAACACCAAAAGAGGTTTTTACCACGCACAACCACGCTTTGATGTCAAATTCCAGCAGCAGTATTTTTGAACTAATATCAGATTGTCAGCTTCAAGAGAAGATCATATTCTTGTCTAAAAGGTCGACAGTACACCTGCAATTCTTCTGGTGTTGCAGATGCTCATGGGCGACGGTACTCACTTAGCATTAGATGAGCCGAATGCTCGTTTGCTCCCTGTGTTATCAAAAGAAATCTCTGTTTATAACTTAGGGGGCAAACAAGCATGCCAAACTTTGTAGTTTGCCAACTTTTACGTGAACTGTACCATCACAACGTGGCTTGACCTTATTCCTACCGAGACGTATTTTCTTTATTCTATAACCTCTGATCCCTGAAACTTAGCATGAAAAAGCACTTTGTGAATCGCTATAGTGCGGTCAACCGTCGAGATTTTCTTTTCGTTTGGTCGTATTTATTGACCATATTATCTCTGTATTTATCAGGATCGTGTGGCCACTAATCGTGGTATAATAAAAAAATGCGGCTCACCGTAAATGATTTTTTTAAAAAGAAACATGTTTTTTTCATAAAGGTTTCAATGTCGTATTTATTCAGAAATACTGCTACTGGATATTAGTCCCATACTTTGGTTAAGTGTCATGATATATATAAATTTTGCACTAAATTAAATAATTTCTAAAGTTGTTATAAAAATACCTACGTAAATATAATTTTATTAATTTATTTATATTTAGATGAACATAATAATATTTATCATGAGCTATGGCTAAGGTCCTATGAGGCAAATGCTGTAACGTAAGCACTATATTTACCCTGAATAAGGCTTACGGATTAAGTCGAAACAATTGTCGGAAACAACAAAACAATAAGTAAATAGTAAAATTCGTTAAATTTACAATATTAAGTTATATGTAAAATTTGTTGTCCACTATAGCACAATTGTACAAAAATATTAGAAATAGCGATGATATTGAGAAGATGGCTGTATAATAGACGGATACGAAAAGCAAAAGATCGCTTATGATGTAAGGGATTAGCAAAGGGCTATGTCGAACAGTGATTAGATAGAGAGTGAAATATCTGTGACGTTAAAAAAACCACTTACTTCAAATTGCCCTCTTGCATAGTATGCACCCATCGAAGTACAAAAGGAAATTCTAAAGATAACTGAGGAAGTACATTGGAATTATATAAATCTCTGAAACCTGATGACGATGATATAACACCGTCGCGAACCATGTTTTCTCGACCTGAAAAAAATAATATATAGATTCTTTTTTTTATACGACTTAGAATGGCAAAAAAGCTGACGGCCCACCTGATGGAAAGTGGTAACCGTCGCCTATAGACATGAGCAGTACCATGGACATAACAGAGTATACTGATTCGCTCATGATACCCCCCATACGTTGCCATTCCTGAGGACTCAGGTGTTATTCCTCTGTACCCAGTAAATTCACGCCATATCCCACTCTTCAAACCGAAACACAGCCATGCAAACACAACTGTTTCATGGTTGAAACACGAACGGAACAGAGGTACTCAAGCAAACGACTTTTGTACAAAGCCTCCATCTGGTTTTACCTTTCTCGCCCAAATTGTGTATACAATGTAAACTTATGAACATCGTTAGTTTGCCAAAAAATATTTAAAAAATGTTACCAGTAATATAAGAAATCTAATATAATTTTAACTTACCCAACATCAAGGGAAGAAATTCATAGTAAAATATCTGCAGAACTGTAGCAATATTGATGTCTCTGGCCGTGTAGAATAGACGGTCGTCACTCCAACATGGGTTCAGGTTAGCCAATTCATTGGCTATAAGATTGTGATATCTCCAAAGCCAAATTGAGAAGAGATTAATTCCAAGAACGGTGTTGGTTGCAGCTTCAGCTGTTTAGAAGTTATCATTAAGTTATTTTTTGTTAGGGAGGCAAATGAGCAGACGGTTTGCTTGTTGAAAAGCGGCTACCGTCACTAATGAACAAAACAGGAGTTGCTTGTGCGTTGCCGACCTTTTAAATAATTTCCAGTATGTGGTAAGACGTAACTAAGGAAACAAACTACCTGTGTAAGAGAGAAAAATAACTTAAAATAGACTAAGTCATCTGACTAATGTGATAATAGAAGGCTATCTTCTCTTCTTATAGAGAGAGATCCACACCAAGCAATGGAAGTTTAATATGTATTTAGGTAATAAACATTTTGTTTCTATTTACATGAAGGTGAAATACTTTAGTATCAAAAATGGCTAGCGTGTTATCGTTTATTTCAAGGGTTGCCCATCGTGGAACCTTATTTTATGTATTTCAATATTTTAAAATTTTACTTACGTGTATCATGGCATCGTGTCTCAGCTGGTTTTTGGTTGAGCAAACATAAATTGATGGATGTCTTGGTTCCTGGCGGCCATATTCTACCATTTTCAACGTCGTATTTCAACAAACCACGTTCAAATTTTCGAGCCTTTTTTATGGCACTTTCTTCTATCGTGCCGTATATATTTGATAGATCAAATAATGGAGTTGATGATACTATCTATAAATATATATTCATATATGTAAAACACGTCGCAGGCTATATACAAGTTTCGCAATTTTCGCAACTTTTTTACTCTCAAAATGAGACATTTTATCATCTGGGCAAAAAGTGTTTCTTTTTTTTTGAGTTTCTAAAAATTATATCACTGCTACTATTAGAAACTTACCCTTTCTGGAACAGTATCATTTTTAATACATCCAGAAGACTGGAATGATATAGGTCTGGTCATATTAAGGCACCGAATATCCGAGTGACGGAATACCGGATCGTCATCTGGAACCTTATTAGGGGTGCAGTCTCTATCAGTTTTACCTTTGGGTAGGCAGCAGTATGGTTTCCACATTATAAAGTTCACTAAAATATTAGAAAATTTATTGAGGTTTTCTTCCGTAGGGTTATGACTGATGTATAATTAACCACGATTGTTTTCAGGGGGAACCGCGTGAAGGTGGCTACGATGCGGTATATCGCTAGTTATGGTACAGTTACATCTCATTACTAATGATCCCTTTCCCCTGGCACGATAGGTTATATTTGGTTACATTTATACTTGAAAACTTAAGTACTGATAAATAGTATATACCAGTATCTTGTGCGGAGATTATATCGGCTGGCAGGAAGACGAAGAAGTGCGTGGCAAGTTGTGTGAATCTCTGGCTTGGTATCCGACCCTCAGATAGGAGGTGAGTACGTAGTTGCCGGGCCAAAGGCATTTCTTTGCCGGATTTTGTCTTCTTTGGTTGAAAATCTGTAAAATTTTAATAGTTTGTAATATACCTGTTTATTCCCGTGTGGTCCTGGCCACAAAGGCCATTAAATTGGCCACCCCTTCCTTTCTCGTAGGTGTCATAAGAGGCGACTAAAGGATGGGTAGCAGTGTCCCTCTTAAAATATCTCTAAAGTCTAACTGTAATTGCCACCTCACCTGCCAAACGTGGCAATTACTAGTAAACCCCCCTAGGGGGAGGCTTATGTTCAGTAATGGACTGTTAAAATCTGATATGATGATACCTGTTTATGGCATGATGAAATTCTGAGCTAATAATATGTAACCACTTAACCATTGATATGATCTCATCAGCCTTTTACTGTCCACTGCTGGACACAGGCATCCCTGGGTTTTGTTGATTATTTACTACACTTAGCAGGCGGGATGCTGATGTTTTAACAAAGATGCTGCTGTCCATTCCTCGGCTATTAAGTTCCCTTCGTCGCCTCTTACATCGCCCACGGGAAAGGGATGGGTGGCCCATTTTATGTTTGGACCACATGGCAACCATCGACATGAAGAAGAAATAAATACGTTATAAGTCTTCCTTATAAATTAGCAACTATGCATCTTTGTCTTGTTGGCTTTGTTTTAGGTTTATTTATTTATTTATTATTCATGTTCATGGTACTGCTCATATTTATAGGCGACGATTACTACTTTCCATTAAATGAGCCATCAGTAAGTTTGCCATTTTAAGTAAAAAAAGAGTTAAACTGTAATTCATATAAGATGTACGAAGGAATTCCAAGTATGATAACGGACGTTTACAACCTTACCTTCATCGTAAGTTGCCGGCAAGACTCTATAAAATGGAGTATGGGTTGCACCTCTAGTGGGATGCTCCAAGTTATTGCACGACCCGTCTATTCGTCTCCCTTCATTAGGATCGCATGGTGCTATATCATTGATACACCAGCTAAAAGTTTCAACATTTTTTTTATAAATGTATGTATGATAGTTTAATAAGAACTTAAAAGAATATAGGTATTGCTTTATCATTATGTCTGTCGTTATTGGTCCACTGTTGAACATAGGTCTTCGCCACAAGGAACGGTACTGAGCCACCTGCATTTATTTATTTATTCATTAGTACAAATATGTGTACATGGCGGACTTAATGCTAAAAGCATTCTCTCCCAGTCAACCATAGGGAAGTGTCAGAATACTCGAATGCGGTACTACTAATTATTGATATACATACATACTAAAATTACATATATAAACGAATAAATATATATGAATAACAAATATACTTACACATATATGATATATACTATATTATACACGAAATTGAGAATAATATAGAGCACTTACTGCTCGGATAAAGATGAAAAGTGAGCGTGAACGCTTTTTTTGAAAGATGGTACTACTGACTTCCAGTAATGTATTTGAGTTTGTTGCTCCATCTACTGGGAAGTGATCCTAAACTGCGTTTGTTTGTATGGGGGTTCCACTCAAGAACCTTTCTTCCCCATCGGTTGTCGGTTCTTCAAACTATGCAACCAGTCCATTACCACTTCAGCTTGCTTATCTTTCAGGCTATGTCAGTTACTTTGATTCTGTCGGAGATATCCTCGTTTCGGATTCTATTACGCAAAGAAACTCAGAGTATAACCCTCTCTATAGGGGGAGAAAGAGGTTGTAGCAATGGAGTTTGACAGCCTCATTGCTAGTAATATGCCTTATTAGGTCGACCTCCATTGGTTCACCCTGGAAACCATCGTGAACAATTCTTGTTGAATTCGTCACGATGGGCTAACTGACCTACTTCATCCTCACCTATCATCCTTCACTGGTGCCCCGCCAGTGTATACCGATAGCGCGGGTGAGGTTACCATTCCATTATCAGCCATTAAAAAAAAACCTCTCCATAGCCCGCCGAGTAATTTGTACTTATGTCGGTCGCTTTGGTAGATATTGTACATTGTAAATAAACTATTAAATAATACGTGGATATCACTCAACATTTATTGTGATCAAAAAATTTTAAGTCAATCTGCGTGGTAAACAAACATAAGATACCAGAGGGAGACTTTGTACAAAAGTCGTTTGCTTGGGTACCTCTGTACCATTCGTGTTTCAACCATGAAGCAGTTGTGTTTGCATGGCTGTGTTTCGATTTGAAGGGTGGGATATGGCGTGAATTTACAGGGCACAGAGGAATAACACCCGAGTCCTCAGGAATGGTAACGCATGGGGGGTATCATGGGCGAAACAGTATACTCTGTTATGTTCATGGCACTGCTCATGTCTATAGGCGACGGTTACCACTTTCCATCAGGTGGGCCGTCAGCTTGTTTGCCATTCTAAGTCGTATAAAAAAAAAAGATACGTTTGATTCTAATGAAATAACTAGTGGGAGATTTTATATAAAAACTTGTTTACTTCTGTCCATAAATCAGCTGTGCATATCTGTTTCCCACCTTTATTTTGATTTAATAACAAACTACTTGACCGATTTCGATCATTCATTTTATTGGACTAATCTGTAAGTCTATCCTTTCAGATAAAAAGAAAATTTACCAAATTAGTTCACAACTGACGGAGTTATGAGGTGATAAATATACGTATAAAAGAAAATTCAATCGAATTGAGTACACTGCCCGCGGGTAATTAATGCTCCTTTCCACTCAGGGTTTGCTGGAAGAGAACTCTTACAGAGTTAAGCTCGCCTGTTGTACATCTTTATTTTATATATATTATGTGATTGTAATTTTTTATGTACAATAAATTATAAATAAATAAATAACCTTCTTTTTTAAGTCGATTGAAAAGGCGATGAATGCTTTCGATTACTTTTTTTTTTATTATCAAAAATACAAAGTTACAGAAATTATGTTACATTAGCATTCAGAAACCACGTAGGTTTATATATATATTTTTTTTTATGGGTGAAAATGGTATGGTAACCCCGCCTGCGCTAACGGGATACGCTTGCGGAGCACCAGTGAAGGGTGATAGATGAGAATGAAAACAGGCCAGTTAGCCCATCATGATGAATTCATCAGGAATTAACCATGATGGTTTCCAGGGAGAACCGCGAGGAGGTCGACCTGGTTGGGTATATTGTTAGCAATGGGATTTTCAGTCTCCATTACTAACAATCCCTTTCTCCCCCGTAGGTTTATATTAATACTAAATACATTCAAATTATTTAAATTGTATTAAAACCATGCAAGAAGTATCGTTTTAATTTACACTTGATGTTGCTAATAGTAATGTTATCTCGTACATCGGTGGGTAGTTCGTTAATAAATCGAGGAACCAGGGGGCTTACCATGAAATATTTTCCGAAATTTCGGGGACGAACGAAACAGAAATTTGATGTTAAAATTACATAAAACATGCAGTTTAAAATTATTAAAAATGTTAAAATATCGTTCCTCTGGACTATTAGTCTATAGGATTTATGATGAACAAAATGTTAAGCTCCATTTACTGGGTCGATTTCGGTACGAACAAAAACATGAAATTGAGCCCGAAAATTCGAAATTTCATTTCATGGTAGACCACCAGGTAGTCAGCCGTACGCTCGCCATAACAGTTATTTACGCGAGCGCTATTGGTACAAAGTTGCTTCCGTGCGACCGCCCTCGCATATACAGCATGATTAATTTCTCTATTAGAGAATACAGTATTATCAATTATAAAATGAATACTTACAACGTAGTATTTCTCTTCATATGTTGTTTCATGTCTTCCGTACTAATCACAGTGCCATGGAAAGAGTCGTAAAAAGCCGAATTGCTGACACCGTAAAACGTTGTAAAACAAAATAGTAATATTAACATTTTTATTAAATTATTAAAATTTAATCTAGATTAATTTCGAATTAATTTAATAATAATAGATTTAATATATTAATTTTGTTTTTTTTTCTAATAATAGATTTATTATTCACAGAACATGTGTGTTCTGAATGAGGAATCCAAATAAAATGTTAACAATTTATTAAAATATTTAAGCTTCTGTATCCAGTTTTAAACACGTTTTCTTGCTCAAGTTAGTGTATGTGTATGTGTGTGTTTGTATAATAATCTGTTATAATTAACATTATGAAATAATTATTTGCAATAATTTAAAATAATTACCTCCTGTAAAATCAAATCTTTACTAATATCATAAGTGTAAGTTCGTTTGTTTGTTTTTTTACATTACCACTTAGTGCCTTAATAATTAACCATTCACTACGACCATAAAATTTTATTTATTTTTTTTTTTTATGCCACTGAGGTGGCAAGCAAGCATATGGCCCATTTGATGGTAAGTGGTTACCGTAGCCTATGAACACCTGCAATACCAGAGGTATTACGCGTACGTTGCCGACCCTGAAGAAACCTCTTTACCCCCCTTTTGAAGAACCGCATGCTGTAGTCTTTTGGGAAAACCTCGGCAGGGAGCTCATTCCACAACCTGAGTGTTCGTGGGAGGAAACATATCTGAAACCGTGCAGTACGAGACCATTGAGACTGTAGAACATGAGGATGAACTCCATGTCAATGGCGACCCGTACGATGGTAGAAAGTGGCTGTGGGCATCATATTGAACAATTCCTCTCAGCACAATCCATTGTACAGGCGGTAGAACATGTGTGTGAATGTGTGAATGTGAAAAGGACTCCATTTTCCGCGCTTAGCCTCTCATTTGGGCCATTGTGCGTATGAGTCGTGGCTAGTGCAGCCAACCTAGCTCCGTCCAGAAGCGCAGAAGCTTCCTGGGTTCTTCACAGGCCTCACGGAGCGACCTCACCGTTCCGAGGATTTCTAAACGTTGATGGGCCACAGCCTCACATTCCAGGATTACGTGAGCAGCCGTATCTTCGGCGTCGAAACAGCCTCGACATTGAGGGCTGTCTGTGGCTCCTATTGTGTATAGATGTTTGTTTAATGGACAATGACCCGTTATTGTCCCTATCATTGTTTTGAGGTTTTTTCTGTCTAGATGTAATAAACGTTTTGATAGTCGTTGATTCAACATAGGTACGGCCAATTTTGATTGTCTGCAATCAGTAGCCTGTATCCATCTTTGGTTTTGTATGTCAGAGGATCTTTGACGAATCCACATTCGAAGTTATGAGAATGGAAGAGGAAGGAGTGGATACGGGCCTACCACCCTCGTTCCTGAGCCTTTTCTAGCTTGTTCGTCTGCGGCATCGTTACCATAAGATCCACTGTGCCCTCTTATCCATTGGAGGATAACTCGGTTATTGGAAGATATCCTATCCAGTGAATGGTGGCATTCAATTCAATGTGCCGGCGGTAGAACATGTATTATTGTTTATAATACAAATATTTGTATATAACAAAAATGTACACAGGCGTACTTACATACAATAATATCTAATACATACAATAGCAATAATTAAGTTTGCATTGCTATATTCTATAATACTAGTTTCAAGTATGAGGAACTAGCTTTAACCCACGACTTCGTCCGTGTAACTAGGATATATTCACTGAGCGAGATAAGAAGCAGCATATGCCATTCATCCCTTATAGTATGTGTATACCAAATTTCATAGGAACTGATTAAGCCGTAAAGGCGCTAAGTGGTAACAAACTCAACAAAAAACTGGCGAGCTCTCTGTCGAGGTTTTTCCGAGAGACTACAGCATGGGGTTTTAAAAAAATGGGATGAATTTCTTCACTGTCAGCAACGCGCGCGTAAAACGCGTTCATAGGCTACGATAATCGCTTACCATCAGGTGGGCCGTATGCTTGTTGCCACCTCGTTTGCCACATTAGTCATATAAAAAAAAAGACAAATAAATGTACTCGTAGTAAATTTATTAACAAATTGTTTTTTTTTATAGGTGATAATGAAATAGTAACCCCACCTGCGCTATCAGTATACACCGGCGGGGCACCAGTGAAGGATGATAGGTGAGGATGAAACAGGTTAGTTAGCCCATCGTGACAAATTCAACGAGAATTGTTCACGATGGTTTCCAGGTGGAGCCACGCGGAGGTCGACCTGATAGGGCATATTGCTAGCAATGGGGCTGTCAAACTCCATTGCAACAATACCTTCCCCCTAACAAGTTGATTATCTTCAGGAAACTTGAATTATTCACTTATTTTATAGTGACGTTTCGTAGACACATTAGACTGAAAGTATTTGAAGGTGAACGAAGAGACGGAGACGGGCATAAATTGTATTTTTACCTCGGTCAATTAATGCCTCGGACGCGCGGTCGAAGTCGCGGGTAAAAGCTAGTGGTTAATATGCTAATAACTTTGAGTTATATATAAAAACAAGTTGATTCATAATGACTATATCTTCACATAAAAAAAAAAGATAAAGCCTGTTTAAAATTCATTCCAATTAACGGTGTTTTTATTTTAACTGATATATGTACTAAATATGTTACACATAAAAATTTGTACCTACCACATCTGGACGTATGATTTTGAAAATAAACTTGTTTGTACATTTATATAAACTTTATTACGCATTCATGATCGTCATCAGCCGATTATTTTAAATGGGTGATAATGTAATTGTGACCCCGACTGCGCTATCGGTATACGCTGGCGGGGCACCAGTGAGGGATGATAGGTGACGATGAAAGCAGGTCGGTTAGCCCGTCGTAACGAACTCCAGTAGACGTAACCACGGTGGTTTCCAGGAGGAACCGCGTGGAGGTCGACTTCGTGGGGTGTATTGCTGACAATGGGTCAGTCCATAGATCATAGATAATAGATCCCATTACTAACAATCCCTTTCCCCCTCATATCAGCCATTAAATATATATTACTAAACATAGGCTTCCGCCTATTGAAATTCGTATTTAAAACAGATATCAGGTCGTAAAGAAAGTGACGAGGTAGACTTGTCCCTTGAAGAAGTTTTTCCAGTCAAACTTGTAAAGCTTAAAGGAGAAAGTGTCTGTAGGGTTTGTATGTAAAACATAAATAATATATTACATAGGGGGGAGAAGGGATTGTTAGTAATGGGGATTAGTAGCCCCCTTGCTAGCAATATACCGTGTCAGGTCAGGCGAGGTAGGGGCCTCGAGGCGTACCCCATTGCCCCAGCTTCAACTCCGAAGCCCTTTTGGTCTCCTGGTCTCGGCTCTGATAATCTCCGGGTCTAATAACCTTCAGGTCTCTTGGTTTTAAGCAAACATATACTGGATATCACCATCAAGACCAAATCCTCCATGTTTCATATCCTTAGCTCTTAAAACTCTATGTGCGAACCTGTGAAGTGTCAATGAGATAAAGTACATAGATATAGCCAAACGTTCGTTCACTTTAAACGAATGCGTAACTTTAGATACCTTAATCCCATTGAAAAGAGATTTACATGCAAATGACAACGTACGTGAGTGGAAAGATTTCATGGGGTATTATAGGCTCCTTCAGATAATCTGAATATGTGTTTATCAAGTATGTTTTTTTCTTATTACGTTATGATGTTTACGCGTAGAAAAAAAATGAGCATGTGAAATTGTTAAACGATTAAATTTTCTTTTACAGTAGAATCTCGATTATCCGAACATCGATTATCCGAATATTCGATTATCCGGACTTATTTTTCACGGCTCTAATTATCAATTTAATAATGGTATTGTGTTATCTTTATAGCTTGTAATTTTTTTGTCATATTATTTAAATGTAATATGTAAAATTATTTGTATAGTAAAAATATAGTAAATTTTAGTTATTGTTCGATTTGACTTTGAAATCGATTATCCGGATTTTCGATTATACGAAATATCTCTGGTTTTGTTTGATTCATATAATTAAGGTTCTACTGTATAAATAACATATGAAACGTTGTATATTTTTACATACGTAAAAGATTTTCTTGATCTCTGGAATTCGTGACAGCAAATATACGTATTTTGTATGGTAACAGCAAGCAGAAACAGCAATTTTTTCAGTGGGTTCATCCGTTCGATGAATACGTATACGCGCCCACGGATACCACAGTTATCACTATCGTATCCCACATAGTAACATCTATCCCTTTCCCTAAACTCCATTAAAAATCCACAAAAAAATCCTTCCAAAAGTTCCAGTGACCAAGACGCTTGCCCAGTGTGGTGACTTATAAGCATAAACTCTCTAATGAAAGGGATCAATAATTGGTGGCCTTCAGCTGGAAAAATGAAGATGCGCACATGTTTGAAGCCATTGGGGATGGCTTATATCCAGCAGTGAGACGGAAAGGGATTGTTAGTAATGGGGAGGTTAGTCCCCGTCGTTATTAATATACCTTATCAGGTCGACCTCCACGCGGTTCCTCCTGGAAACCATCGTGACTAATTTATCATTGAATTCGTCACGATGGGCTAACTGACCTGCCTTTTCATCCTCACCAATCATCTCTAACTGGTTTTTTTTTATACAACTTAGAATAGCATACAAGTTGACGGCCCACCTGATGAAAAGTGGTAACCGTCGCCTATAGACATGAGCAGTACCATGGACATAACAAAGTATACTGTTTCGCCCATGATATCCCCTATGCGTTGCCATTCTTAAGGACTCAGGTGTTATTCCTCTGTACCCAGTAAATTCACGCCATATACCACCCTTCAAACCGAAACACAGCCGTACAAACACAACTGCTTCACGGTTGAAACACGAATGAGACAGAGGTACACAATCAATCGACTTTTGTACAAAGTATCCCTCTGGTGCTCCGCCAGTGTATACCGATAGCGCAGGCGAGGTTACCATTCCATTATCATCCATCAAAAAAATATCCAGCAATCGATAGATACAGATTGAAATGATAGTGAATGATTTTGTACAGCAAAAAGTAAAAAAAAAAACTTCAATCAAGAACATACACGCTAATTATCGATCAAAAAGTTCCTAGACATCATTTAAATATAATCATCATCATCTCAGCTTTC